AGGTAGATGATAGATAGGTAGATAGATGATAGATAGGTAGGTAGATGATAGGTAGGTAGATAGATGATAGATAGGTAGGTAGATGATAGGTAGATGTTGCTGTTGTTGTTATGTACCATGGAGTTGGTTCCAACTCATAGTGACCCCATACAGGGTTTCCGAGGCTGCAAATCTTTATGGGAGCAGAAAGCCTCATCTTTTTCCTGCGGATCAGCTGGTAGTTTCAAACTGTCGACCTTGAGGTGAGCAACCCGATTTGCAACCATTATGCTACCAGAATTCCTTTTAGATAGGTAGATAGATGGTGATAAAACAAATAAGGTGAAATATAATTAATGTATGTTACTTCAGGTAAAGTGGAAATAGGAACTCAATCTACTCTAGAAACTCTTGTGTAAGTTTGAAATTATATAAAAATTACATTTTAGTGCAAAAGCAAAGAATTCCAAACTGTTTTTTGTTTAAAAAAAAAATTATATATATATATATTTTTTTTTTGGTCAAATTTCTAAGCCAGAACATATGACTATATATTTAAATTTAATGTCTATCTCAGTATGAATATGATATATTGAATCCATCCACTATCAGTAGACACTTAGACGGTTTCTGTTTGGATTATCAGTAGACACTCAGACAGTTTCTGTTTGGTTTGTTACAAACAGCAGTGCAATCAATATCCTTGTACTTGTGTCAATCCATGCTTGTGGGAAAGTATTGACATATTTGGTAAGTATCTGTCAGACTTCTAAGAATAAAAATGATGTGGTTGCTAAAGTTGTATTTCTTTATTTAATAGTAAATTTCATCACCTTTTCATGTGGTCTATTAGACAATTAAATTCTTCTTTTATGGTTTCTTGTCTCACAAATTTGCTGGGTTGGTTTGGGTTGTGTTACTGATTTTTACGACTTCATAGTATATAGTTGCAGTTGTTCGGGGTCAAGGAATCCATCCTGACTCATGGTGACACCCTGTGTGGAGACTAGAACATCCTCCACTGGGGTTTCCAGGGTCTATCTCTCAAAGGAGATAGCCAAACCTGTCTCCCCAGGCACTTCTGGGTGGGCTCGAATGGCCACCATCCCATTAACAATTCTGCTCTTAACTGTTTGTATCACCAGGGATCCTTCATTGCATACTAGGTAGCAAATTTCTGTTTCTGGCTTTTCATTTGCATTTCAAGATTATCATGGTGTTTGGGGTCTAAAAATACTTTTCATCAAGTACTTGAGATATCCAACTTTCTAAGACCAGAATCATGGTAGGCGGAGAGTCTTTTTCAGCATTGCATGGACTTCCTTGTTCCGCAGGCAGTAGATGATTGGGTTGCATATGGGCGTGACCACCGTATAGATGACTGACAACACCTTGTTGAAGTCCATGGACTTGATACGACTGGGACGGCAGTAGATGAAGAGGGCAGCTGAGTAGAAAATGCCCACCACGACCAGGTGGGAGGCACAGGTGGAGAAAGCTTTACGACGGACTGCAGCTGATGGCATGCGGAACACGGCCACCCCAATGGCTGAGTATGAGGCCAAGGCTACTAGCAGTGTCCCACAGAAGATGACAATGGCAGAGATGAAGTCCACCAGCTCTGTCAGGGCCACATGTGTGCAGGACAGGTTAAGCAGAGGAGACACATCACAGAAGAAGTGATTAAGCACATTGGGACCACAATAGGAGAGGCTGGCAATGCATGTGGTCTTGGCCACTGAGACCAGAAGACCACCAAGCCATGAGGACAAGGCCAAGCCCAGGCAGACTTGGGGCCGCATGAGCAGCGGGTAGTGGAGTGGGCGACAGATGGCTACATAGCGGTCATAGGCCATGGAGGCCAGGAGGGTACACTCAGTGCCCATTAGTACAATGAAAAAGAAGAGTTGGGTCATGCAGGCTGTGAATGAAATGTGGTAGGGTCCAGTCCACAGCCCCGTGAGCAGGCTGGGCATCGTCACTGACACGTAGCACATCTCCAGACAGCTCAGGTTGCCCAGGAAGAAGTACATGGGCTTGCGAAGCTCACTGTGACTGCAGATGAGGTATACGATGACAGTGTTCTCCAGGAGTGTCAGCAGGTAGAGGGTCAGGAAGACGGCAAACAAGGCATCCCTTATGTCTGTCCTTGTGGACAAACCCAACAGGATAAACTCTTTGACTCTGGTCATGTTGGCCAACTCCAAGGACCTCTCCATCTCATCTAAACAGAGACAAAATATGTTGACAGTCCAGTTGTAGAGGCATCCTGTTAAGCCATTTGTTGGCTGTTGAGTCAGTTCCATCTTAAGGAAACTCATGTATGTTTTCAAGGTTGTGATCTTTTGGAAGTAGACCACAAGGCCTTTCCTCCAAGGTGGCCCCACACCACAGACACTTTCAGCAGCAAAGTATGCTGTTTGTACCACCAATAGACTCTGGGTCATAAACCCGACTCTGTTGTGATGCTTTTTTGACAGACTCTAAATGAAGCCAACCTACATTTAAATACAACCTCTCTTCCTTAGCACTCATGTTTTCTTAGAGAATAATTTCTCCTCTTTGATTCCTAATTTTCCTACCTGTAAAAAGATTATGTAAGACAAATTGTTTCTGTCCTTTTCTTTCCTTTTTTCCTACTTTCCCCCCTTTATTCCTTCCATCTGTCCTTCCTTCCTTGTGAGGTAGCATTTTTTTCTCTCTTCCTTATTGCCACTTATGAGCCATTAATTTCATGCATTATTCTTATAGAATAACATATTTCCAGGAATAACATAGTCAAGTAAAGTCATTCTTATGTCTAATATCCAGTCTGTTAATCTCCAACCCCAGAGGCAAAGATTGCTACTATTTTTAAAGGGATTATACATCCAGAGATAGATTCTGTGAATACCTTCATATGTAGGTATACATGTCTTTTTATACATAAAGTAGTACATGGCGTACTTTCTGATTCTAACTTTGAAAGATTACTGTTATATCTTGAAACTAATTCCATTCCACAGAACTTCCTTGTGTGGCACTGTATGATAAGCTTCAAAGTAATACCTTGAATACTAAAATGAAATAAAACCTAACCAGTTCCTGTCAAGTCAATTACAATTCATGACTACCCGATATATGTCAGAGTTGTTGTTGTTGTTAAGTACCGTGGAGTTGGTTCCGACTCATAGTGACCCTGCACAGTGTTTCCTAGGCTGTAAATCTTTAAGGGATTAGATCATCTCATCCTTCTCCCGTGGAACCACTGGTAGTTTCGGACTGCCGACCTTGAGATTAGGCAGCCTGATTCGTAACCACTACGCTACCAGAGCTAGAACTGTCCAATAAGGTTTTAAAGACTGAGACCTTTCTCTTTTTTTTTGACTGTGACTGTGACCTTTTGGAAGCAAATCACTAGGTCTTTTTCCAGGGCACCCAGGGTGGGATAAAACC